AGAGAGAGAGAGAGAGAGAGAGAGAGAGAGAGAGAGAGAGAGAGAGAATTAGCCCCTCCCAGGTTTGAGCCCCCACTTGGTTATCCAAGACAGGTAGTCAGCACTGAAACGGTATACAAACAAAAAGCAAAAATGGACTCAGCAGGATATATTTATATACTTGTCCATGTTTGTGACAATAATAAAGAAAAGGCTATCAAGTGGAGAGTAGGGAGAGCATCAGAGGGACTGAAGGGAGGAGAGGGTAAGGAAGAAATTATGGCATTATATTGCAATTAGAACTGTAAAATAAATATATAAAAGTACAGATGACCGTAATAATGCTCTGTCACAATTTTGTCCTGAGGGCTAAGTGAGTTAACCTAAGTACTCAGAACGGCGTCTGGCATACACTTGACAAACGACAATATTCATACTGTCCTATAGCTCACTTCTTCTCTCTCTAGAGCTAAGCATTTCTTTAGCCCTGCTGTTAGATTTTAAATAAAACGACTCTCATTTCATTTCATTTTGGCTGGTTTTCAAATCTTTCTTCTTTCTTTTCTTGCTTTGCCTTTCTGATATCATTGTCCTCCCTTATTTTAGATAAAGTATTTCATAGTCTTATTGAAAGGTTAAATTTACCAACATCTTGAAATGGCTCGCTCCTGAGTAGTTCACAGGTTTTAACTGGGACTGCTGTAGAGAGAGTCTCTGCCATTTTAAGGGAGCCCTGTCAGGTATGCATTGATGAAACACCCTTAAGGCCTGAGTTCGTGTTTGTGGTACGGGTTAGAACAATTCTCATTTTAACTGTTCCGGTTGAAGGATATCATATCATAAGTGATAAAAATATTGACTCCACAAATATGTGTGTGTGTGTGTGTGTATGTATATATAGTACAGTACCAAGTTTTTTATTTCTTGTGGATAACATTATTTCAATTCAAGGTAAACTTTCAGATAGTGAGGTTTTCTGGTCCTGTTTTCATAAAGAAATCAGACCTACCAGGCTCCTGTCTATTAACTCCACCTTCTACCAGGCCTCCCTTCTAGACCCACTATAGAATTAAACCCCCAGCCACTGGAATCTTGGGCTACAAAGTCCCATGTAAGTCATAGTTTTGCTCACACATACCCACTGACTTACACATCTCTCTGAATTTCTGGCTGATTCTGGAATATGCGCTCCTACAGACTCCCCAAGAAGCAATGCTTTTATTTCCATCAACTCTGCATTAGTACTGGGAAGTATTTGTGAAAATCAGCTTGGTATATTACACCAAGCAGAGATGTCCAGGTCAACAAATCCAATATAACCACTCTTTCATGCTTCAGTTCTATTTGGCATCAAAATTACAGCCCACAGGCTGCCAACACGGCTCAGCAAGTGAAAGCACTTACCATACAAGCCTGGGGAACCTGAGTCAATTCCCAGAACCCACATAGAACCCACATGAATGGAGAGAGCAGACTCAAAAGCTGTCTCCTGATCTCGACATGTGTGTATGCACGCTGTCTCCTTCCCACTCCATAACAAACATAAACTGTTCATAAAATGCAGCTGACTCCAGGTTTTGCATCTAATGTCAGCATGTAATATAAAAACTGAAAACCCGCCGGGCAGTGGTGGCGCATGCCTTTAATCCCAGCACTCGGGAGGCAGAGGCAGAGGCAGGCGGATCTCTATGAGTTCGAGACCAGCCTGGTCTACAAGAGCAAGTTCCAGGACAGGCTCCAAAGCCACAGAGAAACCCTGTCTCGAAAAACAAAAAACAGACAAACAAACAAAATAAAAACTGAAAACCCCAAAGTGGATCAAAAATCCCATAAGGCCTCACACACTGAAGACTAGCAGACTGTCTTTTATGACACACCACTCAGCACTGGGCTGAGTGTCTTGATCTGAGCACCCTTAGGAAAGTTGATTCAGGGGGCATAGTCAAATCTAGAAATATAGGAGACACGCGATGGCACCAGATGCTCAAACTTCAGAGGCCCCCAGACCAAAGGCTAATTCCTCCCATCCCTCCTCACTCTAGCACAGATGCCACCCCCAGGTGAAATGACAACATGATCACCTATGCCATTTAAAGTGTCTTTGCCTTCAGTGTGCTTTGTTGAACAATTGTGTCTACATCTGTGTACGTTAAAAAAAAAAAAACACACAATAAAGACCAACAGAGTGTCTATTACTCAGGTACTACTGAGCAGTGTCCTGGAAGGATGCCAACACTGAGTCTCCTGATTTGTGACAGTTAAATTGGGTGTGACAGAAAAACATTCGTCCAGCTGCAAGATTAAGATTTGGGTTTTAGGGCTGGAGAGATGGCTCAGGGGTTAAGAGCATTGCCTGCTCTTCCAAAGGTCCTGAGTTCAATTCCCAGCAACCACATGGTGGCTCACAGCCATCTTTAATGGGATCTGGTGCCCTCTTCTGGCCTATAGGCATACACACAGAAAAGAATATTGTATACATAATAAATAAATAAATATTACAAAAAAAGATTTGGGTTTTACCCCATGCACGGTAAAACCATTAAAATAAACATTAAGCGCGTGCCTGAGCAGAGGCTGCCGTGGGACGCTGCACTAAGGGTTCCATGCAGCGGTGAAGCCTCACCACAAGTTGGCCAGCTACATGGAAGAGGATGAGTAGACCAAGAGGCCCAGGAAAAGAAGAGAGAAGTGTCCTGCCAGCTTGAGCTCAAAGCGAATGATTTTCTCACAAGTGCCCTCAGAGGGTGACAAAATTACACTGGCTGACAGCACAGGCCTGCAAACCAGGCGCGATACTGACTCTGCCCCCAGTAACAGAGCGACCGGGGCAAAGCACTTCCTTCCTATGACCTTCAGCTTTGCAGAACTGCTGTGAAAGCTGACTGGGGGCGGTGACTGCACACAGTCTATGTTCCAAAGTCTCTGCTGCCACTGTTACCTAGGACAGGAAGCACAGCGGTATTGCCATCACTCCAAAAGTAGCTATTTAAATGACCAATCTGACTCAATAGCCTGCAGATTCTCCACCCTCACCGGCAAAAGGAGAGGAAACAATGCATTATGTACTGAAACTTCAACAGGGCAGAACACTTTTATTGAAGTGAAAGCCACCTCCTGGCCACGGCTGCCCACTCTGCTGTTTCTCCAGAGTGAGAGTGAGGAAGGCAGGATCTAGAGACAGGTGGCTAGCGCCCCATGCCAACTCTGCTACTTACCAATGCGGTCACCTTGAAGGAATTACTTCAACTCCAGGCCTCAGTTTCTTCTCCTGTAAAAGAGGGACAGCAAGGCGTAAGCAAGCTACAGCAGACCTCAGCACTCTAAAAGTCCCAGGATTCCCAGCCTTCGCTATTACTTTGTCCCCCCCCAATACCTGTGACATGGTCTGAGGAGAAGAGTCTCAAGTATCATTTATATGGACCACAGCAAAGCATCCAATCGTTTGGCACTGTAACATGGTGTTGTCATCTACAGAAATCATGCTCAAGAACTATGTACATGTTGGGCATTAGAGGAACACACCTTCGATCCCGAACCTGGTATGCATGTGGGAGGCAGAGGCAGGAGGATCTCTTGTGAGTTCAAGGCCAATCTGGTCTACATAGCAAGTTCCAGGACAGCCATAGTTTGGGGTGTTTTGTTTTTGAGCCCTGTCTCAAAAAAAACTAAACAACATAACAACAAAAAACTTAAGTAAACAAGTTACAAAAACAAAAATCATAGATGGAAATGAAGAGATGGTTCAGTGGTTAAGAGTGTCTGCTGCTCCTGCAGAGAACCAGGGTCCAGTTCCCATCACCCACATCAGGCGATTGGCAACCACCTGTTACTCCAGTTCTAGGGGATCTGACACCCCCTTCTGGTCTCCACAGGCACCTGTGAATATGTGGCACACATAAACTCATGCAGGTAGATGGGCAGAGGCCAGTGGATCTCTGTGAGCTCAAGGCCAGCAGCCAGATCTACATAGTGAGTTCCAGACACTATGGAACTCTAGTTCCAGCTAGAGTGAGACCCTAACTCAGAAAGAAAAATAAATAAATAAAATGAGACCTTTTAAAATGTCGTGTTTAAAGTACGTTTGCAATTCTGTGTTGGGCGACACTGAATGCTATCCTTAGCTGCATGCAGCCCATGGCACATGGCAGGGGTGCTTCTCCAACGCTTCTCTCACTGAGCACTTAAAATAGCCCTAGACACCACAAAAGAAAGAGGAGGAGGGAGAAGAGGGGGGAGGGGAAGAAGATAAGGGATATGTGGATGGGGAAGGAGGAGCTGATTCTGAGCAGTAATTTGCTGATGGTTGCACACAGCAAGGGCAGAGCCCCAAACATCTATAGCCCAGGGTCATTCGGGCTGGATTCCAAGGTCCGAGAGGCAGAGGATGGGGCCATGTTGCCCTCTGAGATTCCAAATTCTTAGTCAAAGGATCCTGGAATTTGGGGTTGCTGCAGAAGTCCTGGTCCCAGAAATATGCTCAGCTCAACTTGACTCTGGACTAGTCTCAGTCATTCTGCCCCTGAACCATATCCTGTCTGAGGTTTCTATTCTGCACCACGAAGGAAGCAAACATGGGCTGTGCCCTCAAAGTTCTCACTGTCGGAAACTGCTCAGAGCAAAAGCTTGTGAATAAATCAAAGAGAGCTTTCTGAAAGCCAGAGTTCAACAGCATCCCTCATAATGTGTGGCCAGCATTCGGCGTGAAAATGAAGGCAGAGGTGCATCTAGCCACGCTCACTGCCAGATGGCGGCAGGAGAGAATGCCCCCTTTTCTGACCCAGCCTTCAGCTGCCCTGGTGTTTTGAGCTCTGAAACTACCGGAAGCCACTTAACCCACTTCATTCTATTCACAAAAGGCGTGGGGCCGGGACTCGTTGTCACTGCTGCTGCCACCCTGGTGCCCTTTGCCAGCTTTGCCTCTGTTCCTGGGACAGGTGCCCTCCCCTTGTTCTTGGTGTATGCTTTAACATTCTGTTTTAAACTCATCACAAATGGCATAGAGAAAGGGAAGACTCGACTGAAAGGCATTCTAGTCCATGATCCTCTAAGGTGTGTACACACGTGTACATAAACCATGAGTACACACCATACCATAAAACACATAGATGCACACCACATACAAGTGTAACACCACAAATACTACACATATCATATATACCACATTTCACATATACAAGTACAACATACACATAACACATCACATGCCATAATGTACCACGCATGTACAAAATGAAACATACAAAACATACATATAAACCACATGTGTACATATGTCACACACCACACATGCCATGAATACACACCACATATATTCCACTTAAACACATACAACATACATCACACACAATGTGACCATATACCACACACACGCACATTACGTATGCACATACGGCATCTGCGCATCATACTAAATACATGAATCACACACACAATGCATATACCCTGTATAGGTATATCACACAACAGATACACATCATGAATAAACCACACATGCATACATGTGCCACACACATATCCTCACACAGGTCATAGCAAACCATACATGCATATACACCATTAGCAAATTATAAAAGCCTATGAGTGCTACACACAGAGACACACGACTGACTGCCACTTCTCCCATCTCTCCTTGCTCTAACTCTTAAACCAGATTTTGAGAACACAAAATGGGGACAAGTTGTTCACTTGGGAGACTTTCTAAGACCTTGTGCAAATGAGAACCGGGAAAAGGATGGGAACTCTCATGAAACTCTTGGTTTGTTTGGTTTTTAAGAGCACAGGGAAAGCTGGCCACTGCACAACCTGGATGCAAACCTAAACAGAGTATCTGCAGCAGGAAGAAGGTGGACTCTGAAGACAGACGACAACCTCTCACCCCCACGTGTCCTGCAGAGAGAACCCGAAGGCCAGCAGCAGACTCACCACGGGCTCTAGAGTCCCCGCTGCGTTCCAGCAGCCTTTGCTACAGTGAAGATGCATGAGTCCCTCAGGCACCCACGGCCCACGTACTGTAGCCCCAGAGAGGCCACCCACTGAGCTTTCCAGCCACCCAGGAACAAGTAGAGAAGAGAAGCAATTATAATTGAGAAGGGGAAGATGGCCAAGAGGGATGAGGACTGCTGTGGGCAAGCAATGCTATTCCATTGGCTCAGCCAGATCAAAGTAGGGACCAACCAGCAGGGCTTCCCTAAAGAGGCCCTGTCCACAGTGACAGCTACAAGACAAGCCGCAGTGGTCCAGAGGCAGGAGCCTATCCAAGCAGTAACAGCCCAGGTATGTCAGACCTGTCTAGACCAAGCCTAAGAGGTAAGAGGGCTGAGACTAGATATACAGGAGGAAAGTAGCTTACCAGAGGGAGCCTGCCTGGCCCAGGTCCAGGATGACCCCAGCCAGTCCTGGATCTCATTGGCCATCCAGCCTGACTTATTTGGGAAGCCACGGGCCAGTCAAAGACACTACCTCAAAAAACCAAGGTAGAAGAGTGGTAAGGGTATAGAGATATCTGAGTAGGTCAAGATGCTCGCTGCCAACCAGGATAATTTGTGTTTGATGTCAGGAGTCACGTGGAAGAAAGAGAGGACTGACTTCCACAGGTTGTCCTCTGACCTCCACACAGGTGTCACGGGCAAAAACCAAAGGGCAACAAAATGGTCCAAGGGGGAAAGGTGTTTGGCACACGAGGCTAAAGATCTGAGATCCACATAAAGGTAGGAGACCTGACTTGACAAAGTTGTCCTATGTCTTCCACACTTGCACCAAGGCACATGCTGGCACATGGTTGTGTGACGTGTGTGCATGTGCACACACTAGTAAGACAGAGGGCCCGTGAGAAGGTTTCAATGGGTTAAGGTGCTTGCCACTGAGCCTGACGACCCAAGTTCCATCTCCAAAACCTTGACGGTGCCAGGAGAAAACTGCTGTAAATGATTCTCTGGCCCCCTCCCCACGCATGTGCACAACTCACCCCATACATGCACAGCCTCTTAGTATGCAAATCGCCTACAGGATGCTGCTGATCCACACAGACGAGGCAAAGTCAGACTATAAATTACACTGGGAAATTCTGGAGCGGAGACATTTTGGGGAAACGTTTTTTCGCTAGTCTGCTTCATTCCATAATTACCCTGATGCTACCCACCCCACTCAGCAGGAGAGAGACAAAGGAAAGCATGTGTCGGATGTATTCCACTGGGCATGACGCACTCGGCTACCAAACTTCACGATAGTAGCTTAACAGTGAGAAACTCGGGGCTGCAGTTTTGGCATGACGCTGCTGGATGTCACCCAGGCACAGGTAAACAGGATCCCAGAAGAGGAAACCGCAGCACCAGATGGCCCTGCGGCTCCCTAGGTGATCTCCATGAGCAGCTGGGCCTGAGAAACACCAGGCAGGCTAACTCATTAGCCCAGGGAAGCCCCTGGGAAATCTTATCTGCAAGTGAAGAACTCTTTGTAATTAAATAAAATAGCAGATGTAAAAGTACCCAGCAGTGCCTGTTACCCAGAAGACAATAAATGTTAATTAAACAAGCAAATATAATTCAAATAATTACTCCTTCCCCTGCGCGAATTCATCCTGGAACTTTATTGACGTGTTTATCACTTGTTTTTTTTTTTTCCTGGTGACCAAGATTCATTGTACATCTAATAATAAAATTATAAACTTACACCCATAATCCTATTTCATTCCAAGAGCCGGGCAAGAGTCCTTGCAAACCTCAATTATTTTATTCAGGTGGTAAAACTTTCCCCAAGAACAGAGCTAATAAATAGTATCTATCAATAAACATTCGCTGCTTAGAATGAGCCTTCAGATCTATTCTCACGTGGAATTTGCCATCGTTTTCCCAAATGAGGCTGAAACACACTCCACAGGATTAGGAGGGTTTAGCAATAAAGGAGCAATGGTGTGGGAAAAGAGACAAAAAGAGCCACTACGCAAATTAATTATTTTTGCAATTTTGGAGAGAAGGAATCTCAAAGCCATGGACACACAGACATTGGTCCATTCAAGGACTGTGCAGAATAGAACCCTGTTAACGTAAGAGTCACCGGCAAATAATAACACCACAAGTACCTGCAAACGGTCCCTTGTTCTAACTTCTCCCTGCACCCTCCAGAGGCTTGAATGGCCCTTAGCGTTCAGGTTTGAGAAGCCAAGGAAATGTCTTTAAAAAACAAAACAACCAAACCAAACCAAACAAACAAACAAACAAAAAACCCACTAGAAGGCAATTTCTGAGTCTGAAGAAGGTTCCACTATAAAGA